CGGGAGGGAACACCTGGCTCCTGGCTTCGGATCAGTGCAGCGCTGGCCTTAGTGGCTATTTGGGGGGGTGAACCAACAGAAGGAAGACCTTTCTCTCTGTTTCTCTGTCTAAATCCATCTTTCAAAAAAAGTATATCACACAAAAGGGATTCTCAACATGGCAGATTTCTTAGTAGAAACCCTGTAGGTCTACAGTGAGATGATAAAATCAAAAAGCTGAAGGGATCTTCCATCCTCTGGTTCCCTACCTAAGCAGCCACAATGACTAGTCCTAGGCCAAGCTGAACCCCAAACAGTTGGGCCTTCTGCTGCTTTCCCAGGTACATTAGCAGGGAGCTGGATTGGAAGTGGATCAGCTAAGACTCAAAATGGCACTCAGATAGTGATGCTGGTGTCATAGAGTGAACTAGCAAATGGAAGACTTTTCTCAATGTCTTTCCCTGTCTGTAACTCTGCCTCTCAAATAAATAAGCAAAAATCTTTTTAAAAAATTTTAAAAACAGAGAACTAAATAAAGGACATCTGACTTGCAAAAGAGGATGTCAACAGTCCCAAGTTTCAGCTTAGTGATTCTATATGAGGAAACTTTAAAAAATTTGTGGAGGATGGAATTAAAGAATAAAAATTTTAAAACATAAATGTTGTTTCTCCATTTCTGTCTTATAACCATAGGTATGATTAATTTGCAAGTGACAGTTTTTCTTTTCTTTTTTTTTTTTTAGCATGCTTGACTATTTTATTTCAGGTTAATGCTTAAGACATGGTTTATCAGGAAGTATATGGCCTTTTAGCCTTAAGATGAAAATCTGTTCTTTTTTTAAACTTTTATTTAGTAAATATAATTTACAGTTTGTGGATTACAATGGCTTTCCCCACCATAACTTCCCTCCCAGCTGCGACCCTCCCCTCTCCCACTCCCTTTCCCCTTCCATTCACATCAAGATTCATTTTCAATTATCTTTATATACAGAAGATCAATCTAGTATATATTAAGTAAAGATTTCATCAGTTTACACCCACACAGAACATAAAGTGTAAAAATACTGTTTCAATACTAGTTATAGCATTAATTCACATTGAACAACACATTAAGGACAGAGATCCTACATGAAGAGTAAGTGCACAGTGACTCCTGTTGTTGACTTAAGAATTTGACACTCTTGTTTATGGCGTCAGTAATCTCCTTAGGCTCTAGTCATGAGTTGCCAAGGCTATGGAAGCCTTTTGAGTTCACCGACTCTGATCTTATTTAGACAAGGAAGTGACAGTTTTTCATGTATCTCACTCAATATTATGACAGCCCTTTAAATCAGGTATTAATAATCTAAATTTTCACTTAACAAAATAAGCTATAAAAGTATGTAACATGTTACAGAGTAGATAATAGAGCCAGGATTAAAACCTATTTTCATGAGAATTCCCAAAACAAAGTAGGTACTTTACAAATAAATAAATACATAATCATTGAATAAATCATTGGTTAAACCAGTGGTGACTGGATTTTTACTAATAGAGCAGTGAGGCTTAACACAACATGCTCTGGACTAAGGTATACTACTGGAAGGAACTAAAGAGGTTTTAAAGAATCAGAGGTCCATAGAAAATGGGAATTGAGTTGTAGCTCATCTTGACATAATTTTAAAGTACAGTAGATTATTTCTTTATTCCAGACATGTTTTAGAATATTTTGTGTTTAAATTATATTTTTAATATTCTTGGAGGCTTATATAATTGTAACCAAAAAAAAAAAAATCTCACCAAGAATTCCAATAAACACAAAAACTAGATGTAAGTGCTCAATACTTGGCTGCTGCTGAAACATAACCATCTACCAGTTTTGAGTGTATAAAAATAGTCCAACCCTCCAAATACTGACTGAAAATTTTCTACAGAAACTCTATCGGCGGCGGTTGGGGCCCAGTGCCTTGACCGCGCCTCAATGCCCCAGCCACAGCCCGCGCAGCTGCATGCCTGCCAACAGCTGCCAGCGAAACCCTGGCCGAGCCACACGAAGGCATGTCAACTGGAGCGAGTAAGAAGTGTGGAAAAGATATTGCCATCACTCAAGTTGCTCCACAACAGCCAATTAATGAATATGGGTTAAACGCTGATCACGGATTGGACAACGATAGGGAGTCTACCTCCAAAAGAGATCCTGAAGATAGGAAATCACAAAGGAATTCTAAGGAAAAGACATCAATGCCAGCAAGTGGAAGCAGTGTAAGGGATATGGCTGTCATGAATAATGCTCCACAGGAACATACAAATGGCAAATTAGTTCATGCCTATGTGATACACAAAGATACAGAATCTATTTTGAAATCAGAAGATGAATCTGTAGTCAACTTCAGATTCTCAGACTATTTCTACAAATTCTTGGAAGAAATACATTAATCAATCAATGGCAGCAGATGCAAAAGGAAAAGATATGAATGAACCACTGGAAGCATTTGCTAAGGAATATGCTGAAGTGATGCCTCGTCTGGAAGCAATGCATCCTTTTTGGAAAACACCAGTGGGAATGAATGAAGTACAAACGTACAGACAAGAAAAAATCAAGTTAAAACCAATATTGAAACATCTTGAGAGGCATTTCCTTCATCACTGCAATACTAATCAATATAAAAGCACAGAACTTGAATTAAAAAGTTCTTCTCCAACATGTAATAACATTAAAACAACACCCAAGGAAGAAAAAGAATGGTTTGATAGAAGTAAAAATAAGCAGTTTGAAGAAAAAGGGCAGCGTTGCCAAAGTAATGAAATGGAAGAGTTAAGAAACTTGTAGGCCGGCGCCGCGGCTCACTAGGCTAATCCTCCCCCTGCGATGCCAGCACCCCAGGTTCTAGTCCTGGTCGGGCGCGATTCTGTCCTGGTTGCTCCTCTTCCTGTCCAGCTCTCTGCTGTGGCCCGGGAGTGCAGTGGAGGATGGCCCAAGTGCTTGGGCCCTGCACCTGCATGGGAGACCAGGAGAAGCACCTGGCTCCTGGCTTCGGATCAGCACAGTGTGCCGGCTGCAGTGTGCCACTGGAGTGGCCGTTGTGGGGTGAAGCAACGGAAAAAGGAAGACCTTTCTCTCTGTCTCTCTCACTATCCAATCTGCCTGTCAAAAAAAGAAGAAGAAGGAGAAGGAGAAGGAGGGAGGAGGGAGGAGAAGGAGGGAGGAGGGAGGAGGAGGGAGGAGGAGGAGAAAAGAAGGAGGAGGAGGAGAAAAGAAGGAGGAGGAGGAGGAGGAGAAGAAGGAGAAGAAGGAGAAGGAGAAGGAGAAGGAGAAGGAGGAGAAGGAGAAGAAGGAGAAGAAGGAGAAGAAGGAGGAGGAGGAGGAGGAGGAGGAGGAGGAGGAGGAGAAGGAGAAGGAGAAGAAGAAGAAGTGAAACAACTTGAAGTGACACATAGAACACTAGAAATGGATGCAAGGACTTCAAAAAACAATTTGACTCAGTTCCAATAAGCAAATCATCAACATCAGGAAATTGTTGACAACACTAAGAGGTCTCAAGATCCTCTAGAAAACTACATATCAAAGTTGGAATGTGAAAATGCCAAACTAAAAATCAAAATTCAAGAGCAAGTGATATTAATTGAACAACTACAGAAAAAGTCTGAATATAAAAAGCAACACATAAAGATGCTTGCTGAAATAAATGAAGCTCTGCAGGACGAACTGGACCAAAAGAGGAAGAAAAATTGTGATTTAGAAGACAAGATAACTCAACCAAAGAAACCCTTTTTTCAAATAAAAAACATATTTCATGCTTATGACAACACAGTGTGACTACCATTGGAGACTTTAAAGCCAGTCAATTAAAAATGGATATTAAGAGTCATATGTTACAGCAAAAGTTTCAAACATCGGAACATACCAAAAAGAAAGCTCCTCAGGAAGAATGTGATAAAGAACTGGAGAAACAAAGGGAATTCCATGTAGAAGAAGTACAAGTTCGAGAAACCTTAACATGTAAACTGAATAAGACGAATGAGGAATTAACAGTGGTCAGAACTGAATTTCTTCAGGAGACACAGAGGAATGAATCTTTACCCAGCACTAGTACTATGAGGCCTGCTGTACAGTCATCTAGTGTTGGAAACGTTAGTGATGGTTTAATATGCAAAGGAAACCATGTCCCACAAAGAAATTTAAGAATTCCTACCTCACAGCAACAGCTTTCATGTAAGCGCACACTGGACTCCTCGTACATGGCTAGATATGTTGTCTTTTTTTCCTTTGGGTTTTAGACTGATGATATAGTCATTTTTGATTTGGTGAAACACTGATTATGACTGACATATATGCTAATTGTCACAACTGTCTTCATCATATAGAAAGGAAATAAGTGTATGACTTTTTTACTTCATAGAATAAATGAGGCCGGCACTGTGGCTCAATAGGCTAATCCTCTGCCTGCAGTGCCGGCACACTGGGTTCTAGTCTTGGTCGAGGCGCTGGATTCTGTCCCGGTCGCCCCTCTTCCTGTCCAGCTCTCTGCTGTGGCCCGGGAGTGCAGTGGAGGATGGCCCAGGTTCTTGGGCCCTGCACCCACATGGGAGACCAGGAGAGGCACCTGGCTCCGGGCTTCGGATCGGCGCAGTGTGCTGGCCACAGTGCACCAGCCACAGAGGCTATTGGGGGAAGGGGGGTGAACCAATGGAAAAAGGAAGACCTTTCTCTCTGTCTCTCTCTCTCACTGTCCACTCTGCCTGTCAAAAATAAATAAATAAAAAAAGAATAAATGAAACCAAATGAACACATTTTAAATTTCTTAAAAGCTGCATTTATGTTAGCTTTTAGAAATTGAATATTTTTACCTATAACTAAAGGTATAGTTTGGAAGATGATGGCTTATTTTCCAACTGAATTTGCATTGACTGTGGTTCAAGGCATTTTTAATGTTTTGTTGTAACGTCCAATTTTTCTTTTATTCTTTTTTTAACTTTTATTTAATAAATATAAATTTCCAAAGTAAAAAAAAAAGAAACTATCACAAGAAAAGTGGAGTTACCTTCAATCGATTTTCTTTTTCCCACACAATAGATTGAATTATGGTAAGATGATTCATAGAGAAGATACATACAATTATTAAAGGGATGAAAACAATAGCAAATAAAAAGAAAACATCATGATAATAAGATGGATATGGAAATCTCTGAACAAAAATCTTGACTCCATTAAACAGTGTTTCTGTAGCTGTGTTGTTATGATGCCGCATGATGGCCTTATCCAGGGCATGCTGCACAGCCAGGAACCCTTCACTGATGTACCCTAAGTGAGAAAACAGAGACTGCTAAGTATAACAGGCCAAAATATAGTGGGACTGAACAAAGAACAGGCAATTCAAGTACCGCCATGTGCCCTATCATGACACTTCAGAGAAGAATGGACCGCATATATGATGGTCACTGACTGACCTGGCCACTGTCTTATCTGTGTAAGTACATTCTATTGTGTCTGCTTAGTGAGGAGATTGCTTAACACTGTACTTCTCAGATCTTATTCCTGTGACTACATTATACATCACTGCATGTCAAAGGCAAACAACAAAGCTAACTGTTATAATAAGGTTCTTCTCATAGTCTCAGTCTCAGAGCAGCTATCATGGAATCACCACACAAGTGCATAATGATTTTTGTCATCTGCAAATAAAAATAATTTCACTCCTCTTTTTTTAAACTTTATTCCTTCTTCTTTTTCCAGTGCAGACTAGAATTTCTGCTGATATGCTGAACAGAATTGATGAGAATAAGTGTTTTCACTTTATTACTGACATTAGGAGGGAAATGTTTAATATTTCACCAGTAAGCTACAAATTTTTCACATATCACATTGAGAGAATGCACTTTTACTGGTATTTTTGGTTGGAGAGTTTATATTTTTTTATATTGGAAAATGTTAATCTTACAGAAAAGTTACAAAGGCAGCACAGAAAATTCTTGTATACCATACCTTGTCAATGGTGAGTTATACCACTCTATGGCAGTTACAGTACATAAATAGATCTACAGTGCATCTTCGGTATGACATTTTCATGGGGATTATTGCTTAGGTTAAAATGTCTAAATGAGGGCCGGCACTGTGATGCAGCGGGTTAAAGCTCCGGCCTGCGGCACCAGCATGCTATGTGAGCGCTAGTTTGAGTCCCGGCTGTTCCTCTTCCGATCCAGCTCTCTGCTACGGCCTGGGAAAGCAGTAGAAGATGGCCCAAGTCCTTGGGTCCCTGCACCCACGTGAGAGACCTGGAAGAGGCTCCTAGCTCCTGGCTTTGGATCAGCTCATCTCTGGCCATTGCCATCATTTGGGGAGTGAACCAGCGGATGGAAGACCTCTCCCTCTCTGGCTGTACCTCTCTCTGTAACTCTTTTGAATAAATAAATAAATCTTTTTTTAAAAAAGTCTAAATGGTCCTGAGAAGCAAAAAACAGAAACACTGCCAGATATTCTACATCAAGCTTCTCTAACATTACATCTTGCTATCACTGTAGTTGTCAAAACTAAGAAACTAACATTGTTGAAATACCATTTATAATTTATACACGTTTTATTTGAAATTTTCCAGTTTTCCCCCAATGTGCTTTATTTCTGTTTCGGGATTCCATTCAGGACATTGCACTGTATTTAGTTGTCAAGTCTCCAAAGTCTCTGATCTGTGAAAGCTTCTCATTCTCTCCTTGTTTTTCATAATCTTGAGTTTTTAAGAATACTGGAAAATATTTTGGAGAATGTTATACAATTGATTTTTCTCATGTTTTCTCATTAACTAATTGAAGTTCTGGGTTCTAGGGAAGGATATCACAGAGTGAAGGCCTTCTTCATCTAATTATAATTTATAAGGGGATATCTGATAGCAACATTACTTCACTGGTGATGTTAACCTTCATAATTATGGTTAACATAGTGTCTGCCAGATTCCTCCATTGTTAAGTTGCTGTTTACTTCTTTACATATCTACTCTTTGGAAACCAATCATTAAATGCAGCCTATACTTAACAGGAGTGGAATGTTTATGTTATCTTAAAATATTCCATAAGGAATATTTTTGTACATTTACACACATGTATTCTCTCTTGTCTTTATTATAAAGACAGAATCATTGATATTTATTTTATAATGTGGACTAAAACAAATTACTATTCTTGTTATTTTCAGGCTCAATTTCTTCTAGGCTTGGCCATTGGGAGCCCTTTCAGATTGGCTCCAGCATCAGTTTGGCTAGGCCAAATCCTTTCAACCTCCCTACTATTTTTTTGAAGTACTTCCTTACTTTCTGGCACTGTAAGATGTTTAAGAATCATCTGGCATTTTCCCTACCCAAATCCTAAATTCAGTCATGTCTCTAAAAATCCCTAGTTGCTTTTTTGTTTTTTTGAAAAACTACAATCTGGGTACTGGGTTGCTACTTATTGGCATTCCTGATGGACAGCCTTAGAAAATACATTTTATATTTTAAAATATATTTAACTCATATAAATGTGATCTTCAAAACTTTATGGAAAATGCTTATTATGGAAAAACTATCCATGGATTTCAAAAATTTGTGGACCCAATCAACTTTAAAAATTTTTTAATTTAGTTTTTTAATTATGAGGCAAGAGAGACAGAGATTTCCTATCTGCTGGTTTACTCCCCCAAATTCTCACAATGGCTGGGGCTGTGCTAGGCTGAAGATGGGAGCCGGGAACTCAAATCAGGTCTTCTACATGACTAGCAGGGATCCAACAACTTTAGTTGGGGAAGCTGGAATTAGGAGCTCAAACCTAGGCACTCTAATATGGGATGTAGGCATTTTAACCTCTAGGCCAAATACCCTCTCTTAAATTTATCTTTTAATTCCATTTTTAAATGTTTGCTTATTTATTTATTTTTATCTACTTGAAAGGCAGATAGAGAGATAAAGAGAGAAGAGAGATTGAGATTGATTGATTGATTGATTAACTTCCATCCACTAGTTTACTTAGTAAATTCCCACAATAGCCAGGACTGGGCTAGGTTGAAGCAAGGAGCCAGAAACTTCCACATCTTCCACGTGGGTGGCAGAAACCAATTTCCTGTGCCAATATCTGCATCCTCTTAGAGTGCACATTAGCAGGAAGCAGGAACAGAGGATGGAGCTGGGACTTGAAAGTTGGTACTCTGACTGATATTAGATGTGGGGATCCCAAATGGTGTCTTAATTGCAATTCTAAATGCTCATCCTTATCCACCTATTTATATTAACTCTTCTTTCTTTTGATTTTAGGTAACTTTTCCTGATTAATTACAGATCATATAATTCTGGTTTTTAAATGACAGTAGACACTAAAGGATAATTTTTGTTCTGTTTTCTTAAAGATGCTAGTTCTCTCTTTATTATGCAGCTACAGTGGGAAAGTAATGATTCAGATTCCTTAAGAGTTGAGTTTTGATTAAACTGAGCTCACTTTTGCTCTTAAGTAGTACAAGGGTATCTCAACTTATTCCTCTGCACAATTCCTCAATTACTGTGCCATTGTCAATGGACAGGTTAAATTTTGTCAAGTTCTGAAGTGGGACAAGGCTGGGCTGTGGTTACCTTGGGATCCAATTCCATCAGATTCTCACAGTACCATCACTATGAGACTTCATAAACTCTGCTTGCTAGCCCACTTCCTCTGCTGGTTATTCAGCAATACCCCTGTGTTTTAGGGAAGAGAAAACTATCAAACTGAAATACTCATTTTTGATTGTGGGCTCTTCAGATAATAATCCATTTTACCAATCCGCTCTATTGTTAAAACACACAGCCACATTATCTTTATTTCCACAAACTGTCTCTAAAATGTCTTTTTGACTAGAGAATAACATGAATATTTTCAGTATGGCAGGGAGAATTGTATGATAAATTAAATACATTTTATATTGTTTCTGTAATATACCGGGGGACATTCAGTGCACAGACTCTGGACATAGACTGCATTGAAGATTCAGCTACAGTGCTGAAGAGTCACTTAACAGCACAGATCATATAATCTCTCTGAGCCTCAGATACTTTACCTGAAAAATTGATATACCAAAACCTATCTCATAGTAGTTTAGAGTCAGGGTAAGCACTCAAAAATTTTAGCTCTTATTATTGGAGAAGAATAAAACAGGAATTTATATAATAACTATCTCTCTAGGACAGTTTATGGAGACAAGTAGGTAATTCAACAATAAGAATAGGGTTTTTGGTGCTTCAGTTTATTAACATATTTTGTTTTTATATCCAGTACATATTTTAGTGTATTGGTATACACATACACACACTTTGTTAGCTTCAAGTGTAGAGAGTTGAGTTAATTATATTCAATCCATGATTCACTGGTTAATGTCACTTAATCCATTTTCTTTATTCCCTTATATGCCTTGCCTTCTTCTCCTTTTCATTAACAACAACTCTCATCTGTTTGACAAGTGTCTTTAGGCTTCTGTGTTTTCTTCTAAAACAGGGATTTGTTGGCACATACATTAATGCAAGCAAACCAAACTGTGTTAAAGTTTACTCAGTTCTGTTTTTAAGATGCTGTTACATGTATAGTTAATCCAGTCTTCCATACTAGTTGCCCTAACATAGGAGGTGGACTGACTCCAACACAAAAGACTCTGCCATTTACATTCCTATGGATCCACAAATGTGTTGTTGGGTTTTCTACTCAGGAGCATATTCTTAATTTAGCTTCCACTGCCAGACTGTTCTACAGAATGGCAGTATGAGCTTAGGCACCCTTCTTCTAGCAGTTCCTTTAGGTTTCCACATACATTCCTGGAAAATGTTAATTCTGCCAGCTTTCTACAATTTTCACCAGACTGATACTTTTTTCTTTTTTAAAAATTTTATTCAAGTTATACAAATTTCATGTATTTCACAAATACAGCTTAGGAACATAGTGATAGTTCCCACGTTACCCTCCCTCCAGCCCATGCTCCAACCCTTCTTCCTCCTCCCTCTCCCATCCCCACTCTTAATTTTTACAAAGATCTACCTTCAGTTTACTTAATAATCATAAATCTAACCCTACACTAAGTAAAAGAGTTCAACAAATAGTATAAAGGGAAAAACGAAAAACAAAAAACATTGTTCCTCAACAGAAGAGAAAAGGGCTTTAAGGTAAGGTCTGAGACTGGGTCCATAATGCAGCAACATCAATTGGAAAAAGCAAAAATTCCATTTTAAATTTTATGACTAGAAAAACATTCAAAATATGTTTTCCAAGAAAATAGCAATAACACACCACACAATTCCATCACCCTAACTTAGCAACTATTTTCTTTTTGAAAATTTACCCCAGTTTTGTGCTAATGAATATGTAGTTTACAAAGCTGTAGGTTTATAACACATTTCTGAACTTTGATTTTTTCAGAACATTCAAGATGATTAGTTTTGATGGCTGCAATGCTCTGTCAAATTATATTTTAACTTTTATCTCAAATTTTTAAGAATTAAGGTATATTGGTCATGATGCTTGTTTCCTTTGTTGAATAATTTCTTCAAGATGCACTTGCAAAATTATTGGTAAAAGTTAAGTTCCATATTAAAGACATCTTAATGGTAGTTTGTATAATTAACTTTAACATTATAGTTAAATTAAAAGCTACTTACCAATCCAGTAGAGTATCATAAAACTATAGTTATCTGTGTCAGTACATGAAAATATACAACTCAAGTCAATAAAGTCAAAATTTCACAAATAAGTCTATATCAAAATATAAAGACATGCAATTCCTTTTATCCTGGAAAGAATAAAAGTGGACTGTTCAAATGTACAGAGATGATGATGAAAGTTTAAATGAAAAAAAAAATCAATACAGTAGGTTAAAAACAAATAGTTTTCACCACAAAGTTGAAGTTATTTAGTATGAATTTATAATAACCCTTACTATAGTACTGGGATATTAGGAGAAATACAGTATCTTCTCACCTGGATTCCCCCCAAGTGCATCATGTTGGTTTCTGGGTCCCATAGAAGGCATGGACGGAAAGAGAGAATTTGTTAACCAGGATTCCTCTTCCAACTGAGTCGCAAACTTTCTGCTGTTCTTCTTAAAACTACTAAAACGCAGGTGGTATTTCACCTAGAAAGAAAAATAAGAAACAAACAATAATAAAAAACAAATAATATCAATAAGTAAAGAGAGAAAGAAAGAAAAAGCAAGACTCAGAAACAAAAGGAAGGAAATCAGGAATGTGTGGTTTTGAGCAGATTGATGAGCACCAAAATAGATTCTGAACAACAGAAAGTGACAGCAAACTCATCGTAAGGCACATCACATAAGGCTCAGAAGTTTACTTCCCTTAAATCTTTCCTCTAATAACTGTGTGAAATTTTTAAAACTAAAGTATCACTAGTCCAAGTGATCAATTTCAGTTCACAATTGATCACACTGATAGGTCTAAGAGTCAAAGGGATCACACAAACAAGTCTAGTGTCTGCTAATACTAGCTGATAGAATCAAAAAGGGAGAGAACAATCCATCATGGGAAGCAGGATACACAGTAAACTCATAGAATGGCAGATGTCCTAAATAGCACTCTGGCCTCAGAATCAGCCCTTAAGGCATTCGGATATGGCTGAAGAGCCCATGAGAGTATTTTAGGCATGGAAAGCCAAGACACCCTGGGAAAAAAAAAAAAGAAGACCTAAATGGAAGATCTCTGCGAGTGAGATCCCAGTGGAAAGAATGGGGCCATCAAAGAAGGAGGTACCTTTCTCTGAAGGGAGGAGAGAACTTCCACTTTGACTGTGACCCTGTCGGAATAAGATCGAAGTTGGCGAACTCAAAAGGCTTCCATAGCCTTGGCAACTCATGACTAGAGCCTAGGGAGATTACTGACACCAAAAACAAGAGTGTCAAATTGTTAAGTCAACAACAGGAGTAGGAGTCACTGTGTACTTACTTCTCATGTGGGATCTGTCCTTAATGTGTTGTCCAATGTGAAGTAATGCTATAACTAGTACTGAAACAGTATTTTACACTTTGTGTTTCTGTGTGGGTGCAAACTAATGAAATCTTTACTTAATATATACTGAATTGATCTTCTGTATATAAAGAGAATTGAAAACGAATCTTGATGTGAATGGAATGGGAGAGGGAGCAGGAGAGGGGAGGGGTGTGAGTAGGAGGGAAATTATGGGGGGGGAGCCATTGTAATCCATTAACTGTACTTTGAAAATTTATATTTACTAAATAAAAAAATCACCATGCATTAATGGACTTTTAGTAGCAATTTACCTCAATAAATTATAATAATTATTAAAAAAACTAAAGTATCAGTAACACTTGGATGTATACTGTGCATTTGCAGTAAGCAAACACAGTGGCAACTTGTATATTAATGTGAATGCATTCATTCCTAAACAGACAGCTGGCATGCATACAGAAATCAAATAGAAGAAAAAAAAAGTATTAATTTATCTTCCCATCGTCAGCCAAGGGTTCTAAGAAGAAAGTCTCTTCCTCTCCTAAAAGTGATTGTAAGAATCTTATACATAGGAGGAACGTGATTAAGAGGTAACCGTGGAGTGCTACATAATTTTAATTGTTTAATGAAAAGATAATACAAAGTACATCATGCTGGGCCTGAGCAGTTTTACAAGACAGCAAGTGGATCAAGAGTTTCAAAAATCAGAAGGGTCAGATGAGAGAAATCAGATCAGAAAGGATGTTGTACATCCAAGTGATTATTTACATATTCACAAATCACCAACTAAATAAAGACAAAAGTTTCAATAAATCATTTTATGCTCAAAGTCCTTCTTCCTCAAGGAGCTCAAATTCTACTTGAGGAAACACTGATTAGCTTGTGGCATAAAGTCAATTGCAGAGATATATTTAGAGCATTTATGGGAAGATGAAGGAAGAAACGAGTAGGCATGGGTAGGAAAGACAATGTAGAGTCACAGCAACAATCTTAGAAACCAACAGCAAGCCAAGTGAGAGGGAGAGCAAGACTATACAAAAGCAGAGGGGTGGAGTTTGAAATATAACCAAAGACATTTTGCCCAGACTCTCTATATAATATATTCTGTTGAGCCACCATCATCAGCCAACACTGAGTCAGTAATGAGGGAAGCTGACACAGATAGAAGTAGTGAGGGAGTGATAACAAAATGAAGAAATCCCTTTAACTTACAATGTGGTGACCATCCTTACTTTCAGTTACATTGACAACCAACTGTGCCCTCAATGCAGACTTGTGGTTCCATGCATACAACAGCAGAGACATCAGGTTCAAACTATTGGCCTCATCTCTACTTCTTGCTGGATATTATTAGCATCTTCCTCAGTGTCTGCAGATGTCCTAATTCTAATTCAGCCTGGCTAAGCCTCAGTTATTTTCTAGATTCAGAACTAGAAGAGACGAATGAGACTGCTTCAAAAGAGGGAAGAATTTTTCATAATTTGTTCCCTGCTAGTGAAGGTGTATTGGCTTCACTTTGCCAGGGCTGCAGACAACTGACACAGGTGAAAGTAATATCCTTATCAATTTTTCTGATGGTTCTAATGTAGAAATAAGGCCTTGTGGGTCATACACATAATATTTTTCTCATCAGAATAAACCACTGTGTAAATAAACACACTGATGAAGAAGTTAAGATTTGGAAACAAGCCTTCACTCTACTATATGTATAAGCAGTACAATCTTTGGAAAGTTACAGTCTCCCCACTTATGAAATGTCGCTTCTACTTCATTAAATCTCTGGAAACTGAAAGTAGAATTATGATGCTTCTATATGAAGTTTTCTCACCTTAAGTGGCAGGGGATCATTGCTATTCTGGAAGTCATGGTCAAAAACAATACCAGCCAAAACGTTTTTAGTTTTATTATTTTGTTTAACATAATCTTCAAATTCTCTTTCCGAAGAAAATCCCAAAACTGTGGAGACAGAGAAATCTGTATGAGTTGTCCACATAATGGTGAAATGTATGACAGCCCTTCCCATCTGTTAGATGGGAAACTACTTCACATGGATGAAGAGTTATAAACGGTGGCTTGATCAGCATAGCCCTGACTGTTAATGAACAACTAAATACATTATCCCTCTTAGTAGTTTTTTTTATCTGTTCTACTTAATATGACTGGTTTAGATCTGTAAAAAAAAAAAAAAAAGAGTTATAGTAGTAGAAATTTCAAAATGCTGTTGCTCAAACACTGGCATAACAAATTGATATTTGGAGTGGACAACTCTTAGGAGTTTTTAAAATTTTAATCACAAGTTTAAAATAATAATTATTATAATACATATTGAAGCAGATGCTCCAGTGTTTTGAAATTTCCACCTTGAAGGAAAATTAGAAAAAAAAAAGTTCACCTAATCTATTCAAAGTTTTATCATAAGAATTTATAATACCTAAATAAAAATACTTATAAGTTTGGGATTCGAATAATTTTATAGTTTAAACATATGTAGCAGTTATACTTCAATATATGAAATGACTGATGAATGATTTGGGCTAAAATAAATTAAACCTAACTGAATTTAACAGTGATTGTAGTATCACTGTACTCTCCCAAATCAAGTCAAAATATTTAGTCATTTTAAATATCTATATATGCATTAGTACATGTTAAAGATTTTCTTAGGAGTAAACATAAGTTTGATGTAAGTAGGATACCAGGGACTTCAACAGCCCATGGAGGGAAATGAAGTTCTATTTAAGATTTAGATAGCTTGACTGGTACAGCTCTTCCTCCAGCAAATCTGCAGTAATATGATTCTTAAAAGCTTCCATAAGAAGCATTATTATTGCAATTGTTGGTGATAATAGCTTGTGAGAACATCCATATTCTCACCAAGGTACTATCTCATGCTTCCAAAGTCCCCATTCCCAAGGTACACTCCTCTACTCTTAGTCACACTTGGTACGTACCTGGGTTCCAAGGTATGACTGTTTCTGAATCTCACAAAGTCATTTCCCCAAGCCACCTTGCTTGTGCCCACTGAGTTTGAAAAAGCCCGTGCAAACCAGCTCAGCTCTGCCTAATGCCTGCCCACCCAGAACCAAAAGCAGCCCTGATTACATAAAGCTCTAGTCTGTACGAGAATGGTGCTCTCTACCCTTGCCAGTAGTGGGTTTATCCCTGAGTAAACCCGTACTGGCTATTGAGTTCGTGGTCTGTCTCCTCTTTGTCTTGTTCTTCTAGTTCTTCTACTCTAACATGGCACTTACTTGACATCTGCACAAAAAATAAATCATTACTATAGTTGTCATGAAACAAAGGAACAGCCTGGCCCAGAGGAAGAAAAGAGGGCAGGTGATCAGTGCAGTGATTAAGATAGACATCCACCTCCTTCAGTGGAGTACCTAGGTCCAGCCCTAAGTCCAGCTTTCTGCTGATGTGTACCCTGAGAGGCTAGTTTCCCATGTGGAGGACCAGGTTGAGTTCATGACACCTTTGGCCCAGCCCAGTCCAAGCTATCATGGGCACTTAGGGGGTAAAATAGTGGATAGAGGACCTCTATCTGTCTGTTTTTCTCTGTCTCTGATTCTCAAATTAAAATAAAAAAACAGGGGAAGACAAGAATGATGAAGTCACAGATTATGCAACTAATCCTGATTGTGGGGCTAGAAGGCCAATGCTCAGCTTGGGATGTGACTGTGTTCTCAATGATTTGTCTCCTAGACATGTACTTGAGGCAGCCACTGAAAGAATGGACTCAGCCTTCCCACCTTTTCTGTCTAAACTTCAATGCTAGCCTTTAGTTAGCAACATGACAATTCCCCAAGAATGATAAAATATTTATAAACAGCTTTCTCCCTTAGATGAATCAGACATCCTAGCTTTATATGTTACTCCATAGGGCCAGTTAATACTCAGATGCCAATGTTTTTACCTTTTAAGTCATTTATCAGCTTCAAAAACACCCAGGGCACATAGCAGAGCAAGGATTTTTTGGGACTTCTTGCTAATACTTCCAACACATGGTTAGGAGTGGGAGTGGTGTCCAAGATTTTAGCATGCATCTCAGCACATTAATGCAGCTCACGTAGGTTGCAGGTGGTATCAAGGAAGATCCAATCCATTTTGAAAAACCAAAAATTTACTGTCTTTCTAGCCTATTATACTAAACTAACAGTTGTGATATTTTGTGATACAAATATGCTATCAAGTACAAAATACTGTATTAGAGAAATGTGATTTTTCTTAAGGACTGTCACTAATGAGAAACTTTGATATAAAACTGCAGATTTATTATTGTGAGAAAAGGATTAATAGTAAGCATACTTGATTTTGCCAGATCCAGGGACACCTAGTAAGATAATTCTGAATTATTTTCTGGCAGCAATGTGCCTAGCTGCATATGGAATTAAAATACAAAATACAAGCAGTACCAGGAACTCCCAATCAACATTTCTCACTGTGATGTGATGAGCTAAGAGTCTTATGGAATCAATTGGTCAAAACTGTGAAAACTAAGGCACAGGTAAGGCTGGTTTAAAACATAAAATCCAGGTCGAAGGGGTAGAGAGGAGTGGAACATAGGGTTGATTTCCTCAGACCAAGTACTCAAGGGCAAAATATGGTTAAGTTTGGTTACTTCCATTGCCTTGAATGAATTTAGGAAGCAATAACCTAAATTTCAAAAAGGCAGGTTTTACAGATGAGATAGATACGGTCTGCTGCTTAAAACCTTTACTGTTTCTCTGATTGAAGTGTTTCTGGTGAGACAGCGTTTCCAAATAGTCACTGGGAGTTTGGGCTTACAGGCAGTACTCCACAGAGGAGGGGGAAGGTGGCAGAGCAGGAATCTGTGGTTACCATGGTAATAAAAGCTAGCATTTACTGAGTGCTCACTATGTGCTGAGCATTACTCTCAACATTCATTTTAATTCATTTGATCTTCCCAACTACCCTATAATTGGGCATTTTTTCCCTCTGTTTACAAGTGATAAAGTATGCTCTTTTTTTCTGGTTTCTTATTGAAAGAAAGCTATATAGAGAAATGAATGTGTGAAGATAGTGGTATGCTGGTTGTGTGATATAAACCACAGAGGTCTTCAATTATGAGCCATTTTACACTCAAGTCACTTGACATCTCAATCAGTTGTCATTTCTCTTAACCTTATTTCCTTTCCATCTCAGATTCCTGACTCTATCACTCCAACAAATATTCAAATTCTTCAACTCATCTCTTTCATTTTCCATTCCAGTAATGTGGCCAAAAATCCTCCGATATTAGAACAAAATAACTTACAACATATGGTAATTTTCTTAGCCTAATTTGTTTGCCCTGATGGAACACTAAACACATGTGCACACATACATGAACATAAAATTATTTTTAATAATATTTGAAAGGCAGTTAGAGAGAAAGAGAGGGAGGGAAGGAGACAGACAGACAGACAGACACACACACACGCACACACACATACATACACAGATCTTCTGTCCACTGGTTCACTCCCAAAATGGCTGCAACAGCCTTGGCTGGACCAGGCGAAAGCAAAGAGCCTGGGACTCTTTCCAGGTCTCTCACATTGGTGGCTGGGGCCCAAGCATTTGGGCCATCTTCCACTGCTTTCCCAGGCACATTAGCAGAGAGCTGGATTGGAAGTGGAGCAGCCAGGACTTGAACAAGTGATCATATGGGATGCTGGTGTCACAGGCTTAACCTGTGGCACCACAATACCGGTCCCAACATGCAACTATTTCCTTGAACCCTGGACTGGATACCTAGTTTTTCTTTCAAACTTTTTTATGCATAAAAACACATAAAAACACAAATCCTGGAATGATGCAGTAACATCTGTCAGAACTGAAACCCAGCTGGAATGAGGAGCCAACAACAGTAAAGTTGCACAGGTGCACATCTGAGCAGTTCCTCTCCACCTTCCTTGCAGTTACTTTAGTTCTGCTTCTCCTGGTTAGGTTTCATTTTCTTTATTTCATCATTCTAGATCTCTTCACATGTCTAAAATCCTTAGACTAGATGTTTCAAATATGAACAAGATTATTTTGTTTTACACTATCTCAAAACTTCCCCCCCTTCTCCCTGCCTCAGCCCAATTGGAATTGTAGGTTTTGTCATGCTCATGCCATCATGAGACAGAATTCAAGGAAACCAAAAGACAGTTCAGCAATTCTCAACAACCTAGGACTTAACTAGCTGGAGCACAGCTTGTCCCAGCAAGGAAACACCTTAGAGAGAACTGAATCCTCCCCTTCTCCCTCAGGCCTGATTCTTTCACTTTCTACTATCTAAAGATGTCTGAGAAGTGGGACTGGTAGAAGAACATTTGAGGCATGCCCTTGGAGGGTGGTTCATGTGAGATGTTGAAATATCACAATCCAAGTTTGGCCTAATTCTCTGTTTCCTGACTCACTAAGCAATCACTTGCTGCCACACCCACTGTAACCAGCTTCCATCAAACACCATACTATGGATCCACTTGATACTGTAACCTCAAACTGTAAGATGAAGTAAATGCTTTTATTTCCCAAAGAAACTCCTCTCAGGTATTTTAGCTAAAGTAACAAAAAGTAGAAAAATACAGAAAATTGGTAACAAGAAGTGGGGTTGTTACTATGAACTATACCTGAAGGTATGGAGGAGTCTTTGGAACTGGGCTGCTGGGAAAGTATACAACAGTGGACAAGCAGGATGGACAAAGCCTAGAATACTGTAAGCTGAGTGTTTCAAGAAATTCTGGTGATGTCTCAGGAGGCTAGAATGCTGGTTGAAATGTGAACTGTATAGGCCAGGCTGATGAGTTTTCAGATAGAAATGAGATTCCTATTGGGAACTGGAATAAAGACCACTGATGTTACATGTGGCAAAGAACTTGGCTGTTCAGTATCCCTGTCTAGGGAGTTTGCGGCAGGCTGAACTTAATGATGGTGGACTGACTTGTTTGCAGAGAAGATTTCAAAGCAGCACAATGTTCACACAGCAGAAGGCACATTAGGAGGGAGCTGGGTTGGAAGCTGAGCACCTTGGACTTGAACTGGCACCCATATGGGATGCCAGCACCACAGATGGCGGCTTAACCTGTTGCACCACAGCACTGGCCCCCACAAAAGTTCATAATAAACTTAAGAGGTTAATACCTGGTCATAATGATATGCTAACAAGGTTGTACTTGAGACATTTACTCGTGAAGGTCCAGCTAAAAAGTTTATGTTTCTGCGGGGCCGGCACCATGGCACACTAGGTTAATCCTCCACCTGTGGCGCTGGCATCCCATATGGGCGCTGGCTGTAGTCCCAGCTGCTCCTCTTCCATAGCTCTCTGCTGTGGCCTGGGAAAGCTGTAGAAGATGACCCAAGTCCTTGGGCCCCTGCACCCATGTGGGAGACCCAGAAGAAGCTTCTTGTTCCTGGCTTTGGACTGGCACAGCTTCCGCCATTGCGGCCATTTGAGGAGTGAACCCACGGACAGAAGACCTTTCTCTCTGTCTCTCCCTCTCACTGTCTATCTCTACCTCTCAAACAAATAAATATTTTTTAAAAAAAGGTTATGTCTTTGCTAAAACAATTTAATAATATGATTTCTACAGAAAATCTTAATTTCTAACCTTTCATGTTGGAGTTTAAATTGTCTTTCACATTTTCAACAATATTCTGTACTGCAGTACTTTTGGAAGGTACATAAGCCAATTCCCAAGGATAAGGAGTAGTAGCAGGAGCACCGATGAATGTAGGCACATTGTCAACTTGCTGAGCACTATAATTGAAAGGTCCATTCTTCTTTACAACAACAAATTTGCGTGCTAACAAAATTCCAACACCAAATACAATCGTTAAGAATATTTCTGTAAGTAAATTAATAATTCGCCGCTTCTATAGGAGGAAAAAATAAGATTATGTTAACTGACCTCAGAGGTCATTAATTTTGCAAATGGCTAATTCTTTTATATTAAGTTAAACAAATACTTCATGAAAGAATACATAAGTTGTCAAAAAGCACAGCTTCACTACAGAACTCTGTATTTGTCACATATAGCCCCTGAACTGGGAAAATGAAAACAGAATAAATTGAAATATGGTGATCAGGCTCTCATAATTTTCCCATGTGGCCAATGAACTATTGCAACAAAACTATGGATAGTTCAACTTACCTTTAAAATAAAATTCTTCCAGAGAAGACTCCTAAATGCTCTAAACTCCAACCAGGCCATTCTTCAACAAGAATGGAAGTTCAACTCTATGGAGGGAGAAAAGATTTAAATGAAAAAATATTTAAGAATATCTGACAATATGAAAATTTTACATACTTACTTAAATTTAAATTAATTTGCTAATCAAGCCTTAAAAATGATAATAATAATAAGCACTTAAAATATTTGAGAAGTTGTTTATCCCTGCATTTTTAACTTATTTAATATCCTCTTATGTACAAAATGTCAAAGAACAAAACAAAAATCAAGGAATTATTGATGTAAGCTACCAACAAAACAGTATGTATGCTTACATAACTCCAAGTCTATAATACCAGTTTAACATGCAAATTTATCAGATTTGAGTATTATTGCCCTAATAATATTGTTGAGAGGAACAGATTGGCAATTAATTGAATGTTATATCCATCTAAAATTCATGTTAAATCCTAACGCCCGAGGTAATGATATTTAGAAGTAGGAACTTTGGGAGGTGATTAGAATGAGATTAGTGCCCTTTAGTCCCAGAGTCATTCCTCTCACTATGACAGGACACAAAGAAGTGACAGCCATCTGTGAGCCAGGAAAATGATCGTTTGCCAGACACTGAAGCTACTGTATATCTTTGTACCCAGCATTCAGAACTATGAACAATAAATGTCTTCTGCTTGTAAGTCATGCAGTCTACGGTATTTTGTTATAGCATACCAAAGCAAATGGATTCATTCTTATATTTAACATTTGCTGAACACCTATCATGTGCCACACCAGATGTAGGAGAATTATGGGAAATAAAGCCAATCATTCATGATGTATTATTAATAATAATTATAATAATATAACATTAATTATTAATAACCAAGGATCTGAAGTTAGATGCTAGATCAAAATTCCAGCTCTGCCACTAATAGTGTGACTTTGAACCCTGGACTTAAATTCTTGGAGGTACGAGGAAAAGAGCTGGAATTCAGGATCGGGAATAGGGATATATTAGATTAGGATCTCCCCTTACAAGAAAGGATGAACCTGAAGGAGACTGGCCTTCATGGGGATTTAGCAGAGCTTTACACAATCTCAATCCCTAACACCAGATAAAGGTGACCCAAGACTTCAAGTGCCCACAGGTACTTGACATAAAAACAATAAATCTTTTCTGAAGAAAAATAAAAATTCCAGAGTCAACTACTCCTATGAGCATTTTCCCTCTGAATATAACATAATATAAGTATGAAAGCTATTAGAAAATCTCTATTACTAGTAGTGATATCCTTGCAACCTTGGGATAGGCACAGATTTCTTAAAGAGTATATAAAGGACATAAACCATTAAAAATGGGTTTCAGCAAAACCTAGCATATGTCTATCAGAAACCAACATCAAGAAACTAGTAGAAGTCTGGGCCTCCAGGCCCACCCTGCATAATCACAGGTTCTGGGTCTGCACAGCACACACAGCTGCCAGTTTGGCCCCTACAGATAGATATAAGATCTAGACCTGCCCAGTGCCAGGCTAGCCTCTGCAGCCTCAGGCTCAGACTGATACCATGGTAAACTGGGTCTGCAAAATCTTCCTACAGCTCCAACCTCCAGAGCAGTCCAGGAAACTAATTCTTCAGGCCTTCCCCAGGGAAAGCCAATTCCAACGGTCCCAGGCTCCAGACCAGCCCAAGAACTAGATAGTCCCTAGTGTCCTTGGGTTTTAGGTTCAAATCAGAATCAAAGTAACTTGCACAGAACCAGGTTCCAGACCCACAGATAGGCCAATCAGACCCAATAGCCTTTGGCTTTGGCTTCAAGGACTGGCCACCTGAGTAAGGGCTTCAGGTTCTCAGCACTGGGCTGGCCACTACAACCAAGGGCTTCAGGCCTACTCCAGCACCAGACTAGCACACCCAGGGACTATATCCTAAGTGGGCACCTGTAGACATGGGCTCCAGGCCTCCCTAGTGCTGGCTTTGTGTGCCCTGGTCCTGGGCTGTCTCAAATCCAAGGCCATCCCTTGTAGAACTAGACCAGAAAGTACAAATTCAGCCTCCAGGCCAGCATAAGAAGAAATAGGCTCTTAGCTGGTCCTCAAAGCCCCAGATGCTCAATAAGCCCCAGTGGCTCTAGGCACCAGGTTAATAACCAAACCATAAGCTAGGACTAGTCTTCAAAGAACCAAGATCCACGCCAGCTCAAGCACCAGGCCAGCCTCAAGTTCTGGACCATTCCATGTGGTCCTGGACTCTACAGGATTTAGGGTCCAGGCCTGCTCCAGAACACAGGGGCCAGTGTCATGCCAGGCTAGACCCAGGGCCTTAAGGTCCGAGGACATCTGCAGATCCATGCCCCAGGCCAGCCACTACAGAATCAGGAACAGAAGTGCCCTTAAAGACTCAGGTTCCAGGACCATCTCAACTCCAGGCCAGCCCCTACAGACTCAATCTCAAGGTCTACTCTACCACCAGGTTAGCTCCTCTGGACACAAGCTTCAGTCTTGGCTCCAGGAAAACAGCCTGGAAGCCCAACCTTATGGATCCAGGCTTTGGGTCATACTCAGCCAATCCAAGTATCAGATTCACCCACCTGTTGACCCAAGGACTTCAGCAGCAAACCTGTTCTTGGATCATGCCAGTTGGCCTGCTCAGAGTCACTAGATGGGCTGACTGGAGAAGGACTCTTAAACACAAAGCCAGTCTGCAAAGATTGGAATAAGTCCATAGCTTCTTCAAATCCATGGCAATAAGGAACATGAAAATCCATGGACACATTAACACAATAATCTCCCATTAGCTGAACTGAAAGAAATGGAGGTATATGAACTTTCTGACAAAGAATTCAAAATAATCATTTTAAGGAAGCTCAGCAAGGTACATGAAAATATAGAAAAAAAATCAATGAAATACAGAAGACAAAAATGACTGAAATGCAAAATTTAACAGAAAGATTAAAATTACTTTGAAAAATAAACAAATTCTGGAGCTGAAAAATACAACAGAGACCATCAACACAGAAATGACCAAGCAGGGCAAATAATAGGTGCACTCTAAAAAAAGTTGTTTGATGATATACAGTCCAAAATTAGAAAAGATGGAAAGGAATAATGAAAGCTTATGGGACTTATGAGACAGAATTAAAAGAGTGAATTTTTGAGTCATAAGTGCTCATGAAGTCTAAGAGAGAAAAGAATAGAACGCATTGGGGAAAAATATAAACAACCAGGTACAGGAATTCCAAAGATTTCTAATCATTCTCAGATGAAACAAGACTCACCAAGAAATATTACAATCAAACTGTCAAAAATCAAGCATAGGGGCAGCCATTTGTCCTAGCAGTTAAGATGCTGGTTAAAGGGACAGCACTGTGGAATAGTGGGTAAGGTAAAACCACCACCTGTGGCGCTGGCATCCTAAACAAGTACCAGCTTGTGTCCCAGCTGCTCCTTTTCCAATCTAGCTCTCTGCGATGGCCTGGGAAAGCAGTAGAGGATGGCCCAAGTGCTTGGGCCCGTGCACCCATGCTGGGGACCCAGAAGAAGCTCCAGGCTTAGAATCGGCCCAGTTCCAGCCATTGCAGCCATTTGGTAAATGAACCAGTGGATGAAGACCTTTCTCTCTGTCTGTAACTTTACCTCACAAATAGATAAATCTTAAGAAAAAAAAAAAAAAAAACGATGCTGGTTGAGATACCCATATGAGAGTGTCTGGGTTTGATATCTGCTTCCAACTTGGTTGTAGTTCCCTGCTAATGCAGCCTCTGGGAGACAATAGTAATGGCTCAAGTAATTAGGTTTCTGATACCCACATGCAAGACCTGTATTTAGTTCTCAGATCCTCTTTGGCCTCAGCCAACCTCTGTCAAAGGCATTTGGAGTGAAAACTAGTGGCTGGGAGTTCTGTCTCTCAAATAGCATATAGCAGAGTTCCAATGAGGCAGCAGATTTCTCAAGAGAAACTTTACAGAACAAGAGGGAATGTGATGATATAGTCAAAGTGATGAAGGGGGTAAAAAAGACCACTGTACTTGCTAAGCCTGTCCTGCAGAAATGAAGGAGATAAACACTTTCCCACATAAACAAAAGCTACCTGAGTTCATCGCCACCAGAAGAGCCTGCAAGAAAGAGGAAATTCTCAAGCTGAAAGAAAAGGTGCTAGGTAGTAACACAGAGATACAAGAAAGAATAAAACTCATTTGTAAATGTACACAAATTGAAAATATTCCAGTACTGTAATGGTGATATGTAAATCACGTATGTGTTTAGTATGAAGGTTAACACAGAACAATCCATCTTAATACTGAATACACATTTTTCTCCAATACACACTGTTAAGTTTCAAAGACACATTAGGCCACAAAATGAGTCTTTAAAAATTCAGGAAGACTGAAATCATATCAAGCAAGAATCTTTTCCTCCCACAATGTTATAAAAACAGTATATTTCACTTTGTGTTTCTATGGGGGGTGCAAACTGTTGAAATCTTTACTTAATGTATACTAAACTGATCTTCTGTAAAAAAAAAAAAAAAAAGAAGAAGAAGAAATTATCAATTCCCAACTTGACTCTCACTGGGATTAAACATGACAATAGGTCTGATCTGATTTCATCATCATTTAAAAAATCATCTATTATTTTTCACTTTATGTTTCTGTGTGGGAGCAAACTGTTGAAATCTTTACTTAATGTATGCTAAACTGATCTTCTGTAGATAAAGAGAATTGAAAATGAATCCTCATGTGAATGGAAGGGGAGAGGGAGTGGGAAAGGGGAGGGTTGCGGGTGGGAGGGACGTTATGGGGGGGGGCATTGTAATCCATAAGCCGTACTTTGGAAATTTATATTCATTAAATAAAAGTTAAAAAAAAAAAAACCAGACTTTAGGGCTGGCGCCGTGGCACACTAGGTTAATCCTCTGCTGGTTCTAGTTCCAGCTGCCCCTCTTCCAGTCCAGCTCTCTGCTAAGATCTGGGAAAGCAGTAGAAGATGTCCCAAGTGCTTGGGCCCCTGTAACCACATCGGAGACCAGGAGGAAACACCTGGCTCCTGCCTTTGGATCGGCGCAGCTCCAG